AGTTGCTTTGCTGCTGCTGCTGCAGTTGCTTTGCTGCTGCTGCTGCGGTTGCTCTGCTGCTGCTGCTGCAGTTACTTTGCTGCTGCTGCTGCAGTTGCTTTGCTGCTGCTGCTGCAGTTGTGGCTCTTGACGTTGCTGCAGCAGTTGCCGGTGCTTCCTTGCTCCTTCCGGCTGCTGCAGTTGCTGCTGCTTCTGCTGCTGCAGTTGCGTCCGCTATTAGGGCATTGCTGCTGCTGCTGCTGCTGTTGCTGCGCTGACCACGCTGCAGCCGCTGCTGCTTTTGACCACAGCTCAGCTGCAACTGTTGCCTCTACTGCTGCTGCTGCTCTGCTGCTGCTGCTGCTGCTGCTGCTGCTGCTGCTGCAGGTGTACAGGGACCTCGTGCCAGCAGAATTGGCTTCCATTGCAGCAATTACTCCTCCCATAGGCAACTGCCCCGCCCTTGGGGTGTACAGACAGCTGGTGGAGCAGCAGCAGCAGCAGCAGCAGCAGCAGCAGGCGGAGTTTGAGGAGGACGAGCTGCTGCCTCCGTTTCTGCAGCAGCAGCTGCCGCTGCAGCAGCAGCTGCTGCTGCAGCAGCTGCAGCAGCAGCCGGGCGGCGCAGCGCAGCGCGCAGCAGCAGCAGCAAAGATCAAAAGAGATGCTCTTTTCCACTTAACTGCTGGCAGCAGCTCTTTGGGAGTTCCCTGGAGGCCCCAGCCCCCAGCAGCATGGGCTTTATCATCTCCTGCTGCAGCAGCAGCAGACGCAGTTGCGGGGCAGCTCGAGAGCAACAAGGCTGCTGCTGCAGCGGTTAGCAACCTGCTGCTGCTGCTGCTGTTTTGGCGGTGCTGCTGCTGCTGCTGCTGTTTTGGCGGTGCTGCTGCTGCTGCTGTGGTGGTTCTGGCGGTGCTGCTGCTGCTGCTGCTGCTCTTGTTATGGCCGTGCTGCTGCTGCTGTTGCTGCTGTTGTGGCTGCTGCGGTGGTGCTGTTGCTGCTGAAGTCTGTGCTGCTGCTGCTGCAGTTGTTGCTGTCGCCGCTGCAGTTGGTGCTTTTGCTGCTGCTGCTGCTGCAGCTTCGCTGCCGTTGCTGCTGCAGGCGTTTGCGTTGCTGCTGCTGCTTGTTTGCTGCAGCGGATGACTCCGGGCTGCTGCCAGCTGTCTCCTCAGCTGTACGCCTATCTCCTTTGTCTCCTGGTGAATCGCAAAGTGGCTTGCGAAGCAGCAGCAGCAGCAGCAGCAGCAGCAGCAGCAGCAGCGGACGAGCCAGCAGCAGCGACGGATGAGTCCGCAGCAGCAACGCCAGCTGACGCCGCGAGGGTCAAAACGGATGCAGCAGCAAAGCAGCAGCTCAAAGCAGCAGCATCTGCAGCAGCAGCAGCAGCAGTGGCTGTGAAGGAAGAGAGACTGTCGAAATGTGCGTTTGTCTGCTGCTGCTGCTGCTGCTGCTGGGGCGTGTGCTGCTGCAGCAGCTGCTGCTGTGGCTGCCGCCTGTGCTACTGCGAATGCTGCTGCTGCTGGTGGAGCTGTTGCTGCTGCTGCCTTTGCTGCTGCCGCATTTGCTGCGGACACTGCTGCAGCTTTGCCGTTGCTGGTGCTGCAGCAGCAGGGGCTGATTGCGGCTGCTGGTTTGCTGCTGCCCTTTGTGTGCGCCCGCAGCAGCAGCAGCAGCAGCAGCAGCAAGCAGCAGCAGCTGGAGCCCCTCGGAAGAAGCAGCAGAAGGACGCACTTTAGATGACTGGCTTTACCACCAGCAAGAGGCGCTGCTGCTGCAGCAGCATCCACTTGTAATAGATGTATTTGCTGCTTCTCCTGCTGCATTTGTTGCTGCTGCTGGTCTGCTGCACAGCCTGCAGCCGCTGCAGCCGCTGCAGCAGCACCAGCCGCGGAAGCGGCAGCAGCAGCAGCAGCAGCTGCTGCTGCTGCCGCCGAAGCAGGCCGAAGAGGAGCAGCAGCAGCAGCAGCAGCAGTCCGCAGAGACTGCAGCAGCAGCAGAGGAAAAAAGGCAGCAGCAAATAAGAGCTTTAGCTGTTTCTTCAATGCTCGATGGACTGCAGCAGCACGCGGTGTCTGTACACCCCGTTGAGTTCAGGCCCCCGCAGCTCCCCGTAGACCTCATAACCCTTCCTGCCTTCAGTACGTTGCTGCAGCTGCTGCTGCTGCAGCTGCAGCTGCTGCAGCTGCTGCAGCTGCTGCTGCTGCAGCTGCTGCTGCTGCAGCTGCTGCAGCTGCAGCTGCAGGGGTTGCCTGCCGCGTCTGCCACTGCAGCAGCAGCTGCTGCTGCTGCGCTTCAGAGGGCCGTGCGCGGTGGACGGCTCTCGTTGGCTGAACTTGCTGCTGCTGCTGCTGCTGCTGCGGCTCTTCCTGCTGCATGCGGGCGCTGCTGCTTTTGATTGACCTGCTGCTGCTGCTGCTGCTGCTGCTGTCTGTGCGCGCAGCTGCAGGGGGCGGCTGGAGGCGCTACGTGCGGCGTTTGCTGCAGCAGTTCAGCAGCATGAGGAAGTCAGAGGTTGCTGCAGCATCTCAGGCAGACGCAGCAGCAGCAGCAGCAGCAGCAGCAGCGCCCCTCGCGGGAGCAGCAGCTGTGGCAAACGCAGCGGCGCAGCAGCACCACGGCCCGGCAGCAGCAGCGTGGGCAACAGCAGCAGCAGCAGACCGCGGCGCTGCAGCAGCGCATGCAGAGTCCCTGCGGAGGCAAGGGGCAGGCAAACTTTCTGTGTATGAGGCGGTGAGTGCTGCTGCTGCTGCTGCTGCTGCTGCTGCTGCTGCTGTTGCTGTTGCTGCAGCCACCGACGGCGGTGCTGTTTGCGCAGCGTTCTGGCTGCTGCTGCTGCGCTGCTGCTAGCTTGCTGCTGTCTGTGGGCGCTGCTGCGGCATTGCTGCTGGGTTGCTGCTGAGTGCTGCTGCGTTGCCGCTGAGCTGCTGCTGCTGCTGCTGTGTGTTGCTGCTGCTGCAGAATGCGCAGCGAAGTCGTCGCGTGGGCGTAATGCCAGTGGATGCAGCAGCAGCAGAAGCAGAAAGGTCAGCAGCAGCAGCAGCAGCTGCTGCTGCGCAGGACAAGGAGGCGCTGCTGCAGCGCCGCAGCCAGCAGCAGCAGCAGCAGCAGTGGGATCTGCACGAATCGGCGTTGCTGCTGCACCTTGCAGGTCGTTTCGCAGGCAGCAGCAGCAGCTGCTGCAGCAGCAGCAGCAGGGCGTGGTTTGCCGCTCTAAGAGGCCCCCGCAGCAGCAGCAGCAGCAGCAGCAGCAGCAGCAGCAGCAACGTGAACTGGGACTTAGTTGCCAGCTCGCTGTCGAGGGCGGGATCGTTCGGTGGGATCGTCTCCCGGCTGCGGCTGCCCTGCGAGTGCAGCAGGCAGCACGCTGTGCTGCTGCAGCACCTGCAGCAGCTGCAGCAAACTGCGAAGGAGCTGCGGCACCCCATGCTGCTGCTGCTGCTGATGCAGCGGCGGCTCTTCACAGACGTGGATGTGCTGCTGCGGGTTCGTTGCTGCTTCTTTGCTGCTGCTCTTTGACTCCTTTTGTCGCTGTTTTGGCGCTGCTGCTGCTGCTGCTGCTGCTGCTGCTGCTGCTGCTGCTGCTGCTGCTGCTACTGCCGCATTTGAGGCATGCGCACCCGAATTGGGCGAAGCTTTAGGGTTTAGGGTTTAGGGTTTAGGGTTTAGGGTTTGCGCTGCAGCCTTTGCCAGCTCGGTGCTCCTTTGGCGGATTTGCTGCTGAGGAAGGAGAGACACTAACTTTAGAGCTGCTGCGGCCACTCAAGCCGCGTCAGCTGCTGCTGCTGCAGCAGCAGCAGCGGCTTCAGCAGCAGCAGCAGCAGCAGAAGGCGCTGCCAGCACCGGAGAAGATGGAGCAGGACGGAGAGTCGACTACGACGGCGAGCAGCACAAGCAACAGCAGCAGCAGCAGCAGCAGCAGCAGCGACAGCAGCAGCAGCAGCAGCACGAGTTCGTGGCTGCAGCTGCCTGCTGCTGCTGCTCTTGTCGTGGAGGAGGGAGCAGCAGCATCGCGGGTCTTCTCTTTGCCAGCCGACTTGGAGTCAGAGCTGCAGCTCTTCCAGCAGCTGCAGCAGCCGCAGCAGCAGCAGCAGCAGCAGCAGCAGCAGCAGCAGCAGCAGCAGCAAGGGGACTGGGAAGAGCAGGTGCCTCGCATAAAGTCTTACTCGTTGGATTGGAGCAGCGCGGACGCTGTGCTGCAGGAGCAGCAGCAGCATGCGCAGCAGCGGCAGCAGCAGCAGCAGCAGCGAGCGTGGCTCTTGGGCTCTACCGCGCCAGCAGCAGCAGCAGCAGCAGCAGCAGCAGCAGCAGCAGAAGATGCAAACGAAGAGGCACTGGAAGAAATCGTGTCTTCTCTCCGCCCCCTCAGAGGCGCTCGCATGCGGCTGGGGATTCTTGAGAAGCGGCTGCGCAGCAGCAGCAGCAGCAGCAGCAGCAGCAGCAGCAGCAGCGACTTTCCAGAAGCAAAAAAACGCAAGCATTCTCTGTACAAGGCCATCCACGGTGGGCTGCAGCGCGTTGCCTAAACCCTAAACCCTAAACCCTGGACACGGCAGCCCTCACTCCCGCACTCAAGCCGCAACCTCAAACCCTAAACCCTAAACCCTAAACCCTAAACCCTCGCTGCGGCTCTGCTGCGCTGCAGAAGTGGCAGCGCGCACAGTTGCTGCTTGGGGGGTTTCTGGATGGGCGTTTTTTCAAGCTTCCCCGTCTCCGCCTTCAGCAGAACCCCCAGTTGACGCGCAGCAGGTAGGGTTTAGGGTTTAGGGTTTAGGGTTTAGGGTTTAGGGTTCGGGGTTTGGGGCTGGGCTGCGCAAGCTGGAGGCTCATCACCGGGTGGGGCGTCGTCAACTTTCGGAGGAGGCTGAGGGTTTAGGACTCGCGGCTTAGGGTTTAGGGTTTAGGGTTTAGTTGGGGGTTAGGGTTTAGGGTTTGACTTCGTGCAATTGCTGTTGCTGCTGCTGTTGCTGCTGCAGTGCACTAGCCTGCGTGCTGCAGCAGCAGTTATTTGCCGCTGCAGCAACAGCATGCGCAGAAGGCTCGCAGTGCAGCAGCAGCAAGAGGCTCTTCACATCCGCAGCCTTCTGCCTCCCGGTACGGCTGAGGGTTTAGGGTTTAGGGTTTAGGGTTTAGGGTTTGAAGTGAAGGGTTTCGACTTGGTGTTTGGGATACTCGCGGGTTTAGGATTTAGGGTCTAAGGTTTGAAATGGGCTTTAAGGTTCACACTTCCATTGTAGGGTTTCGGGTTAGGGTTTAGGGTTTAGGGCTAGGGTTTAGGGTTTAGGGTTTAGGGTTTAGGGTTTAGGGTTTGTGCCCAGGCTCCGACCCGAAGCTGATTGCGCCTCCCCATCCTTCCCACCAGAGCCTCGCGCAGCAAGCCCGCCGTCACTTCGTAAACCCTAGACCCGAAACCCTAAACCCTAAACCCTCGTTTTAACACTGCGTAAACCCTAGACTCTAAACCCTCACCTAGGACCATTTTGCTGTTGAAGAGTGTTTAGGAAAAGCAGAGCAAGTGCGAAATGTGGTTTCGGGACCCGGGTTTAGGGTTTAGGGTTTAGGGTTTAGGGTTTGAGATTTTAGGCGTTGTTTGAAAGAGGCGACAAGACTGCAGATGTTGCAGCAGCAGATCCGCAGGCAGCAGCAGCAGCAGCAGCAGCAACAGCAGCAGGCCCCGCAGCAACTCCTACAGCGGGCGGCGCCGCTGCTGCTGCTCCTGCAGCAGCAACAGCAGGAACCACAGCAGCAGCAGCAGCAGAATCGCCAGCAGCAGCAGCAGCGACTTCGCCCGCAGCAGCAGCAACGCCAGCAGCAGCAGCAGCAGCAACTTTGCTGCCGTGGCTGCAGCTAGCAACGCATGCGCTGCAGCGGGGAAGGCAGCAGCAGCTGCTGCTGGGGCCGCAGCAGTTCAGCAGTTGTGGGGTGATGCCTCCCCATCCCCGGAAGCCTCAGCTGCCTGTAAACCCTAAACCCTAAACCCTAAACCCTAAACCCTAGAACAGCACGCAGGCAGCCCAGAGGTTCAGTTCTAAACCCGAGGGCCGGGCGAAGGGCACGTTCTCGGCTACAGTTTACGGACCAGGGTTTAGGGTTTAGGGTTTAGGGTTTAGGGTTTAGGGTTTGCAGTTTACTACGGTTGGGGGTTTCTGCCTGCAGGAGCAGTACATATTGGCGCTGCAGGGCCGCAGCAACGAAGAAGCTGCTTCAGAATCGAAGCCTGCAGCAGCAGCAGCAGCAGCAGCAGCGGCAGCAGTAGCAGCACCAGCCACAGCAGCGGCGCAGGCAGCAGCAGCAACCGCAGCAGCAGCAGCAGCAGCAGCAGCAGCAGCAGCCCCAACTGCAGCAGGCTTGCCTCAGGACTCCTCACCATCGGACGCAGTCAGAGAGCAGCAGAAGATGCTCGCGCAGCAGCCGCTGCTGCAGCAGCAGCCAATGCTGCAGCAGCAGCCAATGCTGCAGCAGCAGCAGATGATGCAACAGCAGCAACTACTGCAACAGCAGCAACAACGCCCTGTTGGTAAGCTCATAGCTTGCCACCAGCTGCACTGCCAAGTCATTACTCCACAATCTAGGGTTTAGGGTTTAGGGTTTAGGGTTTAGGGTTTAGGGTTAAGCAGCAAGAATGCATTTGGTTTTGCTGCTTCTGCAGAGTTTGCGACAGGCGGCTCTATGGAGGGAGATGCAGCAGCAGCACCTGCAGCAGCAGCAGCAGCAGCAGGCGGCCCGCTTTTGCCGCCGCAGCAGCAGCAGCTTGTCCCCGAACACATGCAGCAGCAGCAGCAGCAAATGGCTCGGGTGGTGCAGCCTATTCAGCAGCAGCAGCACATGCTTGCAGCGAGCGGGCCGTTGCAGCAGCAGCCGCATCTTTTGCCAGCAGCAGGGCCTCATCAGCAGCAGCAGCCGTTGCTGCAGCAGCAGCAGCAGCTGCGCCAGCAGCAGCAGCAGCAGTGGATTGCAGCGCAGCAGCACGCTGTGCCTATGCTGATGCAGCCGCAGCAGCACATGCTGCTGCAGCAGCACCAGCAGCCTATACCCTATGGCAGCAAAACCCACACTGCGCAGCAGCAGCCGTTGGAGGGAGCCTACGATCTGCAGCAGCTGCAGCAGCTGCAGCAGCAGCAGCTGCAGCAGCTGCAGCAGCAGCAGATGTTCACGCGCTCGCCGTATGTGCAGCAGCAGCCGCAGCCCCAGGCAGCTGAGGACGTTGCAGACGCAGCAGCAGTAGCAGCGCAGCAGCAGCAGCAGCAGCAATTCCAGCGCCCCATGTACCTGCAGACACCGCAGCAGCAGCAGCTGTCTCCCTATCCTGCAGCACAAGCGCAGCTAGCAGCAGCAGCAGCAGACGGCAGCAACCTGCAGCAGCAGCAGCAGGCTCTTGCTGGTGCGCCTCTGCAGGGCTATGCCCCGCAGCAGCTGCAGCAGCAGCAGCACCAGGTCTATCTGCAGCAGCAAGCAGCATTTCAGGCTTCTCACGGCCACCAGAGGCACTTCGCGCCGCCACCGCAGCAGCAGCTGCAGCAGCAGCAGCTGCAGCAGCAGCAGCAGCAGCTGCAGCAACAACAGCTGCAGCAGCAGCAGCTGCACCAGCAGCAACTGCATCAGCAGCAACTGCACCAGCAGCAGATGCATCAGCAGCAGCAGCAGCAGCTCATGTGCCACGATCAGAATCCTTTTGGTGCGCAGCAGCAGCAGCAGCGGTTTGTTGCAGCAACACCGCAGCACCAGCAGCAGCGTTTCGCACCAGCACCAGCAGCACCTGGGCCTTCCCAGCAGCAGCAGCAACGGCTGCCCCAGCAGCAGCAGCAGCAGCTGCAGCAAGCTGCATTCGCCCCGCAGCAGCAGCAGCAGCCAGGGTTCTACCCTGTTGCCATGCAGACACCGCAGCAGCAAATTAATGGCTCAGCGGAGCTGCAGCACTTGCAGCAGCTGCAGCAGCAGCAGCTGCAGCAGCAGCAAATGCAGCAGCAGCACGTACAGCAGCAGCACATGCAGCAGCACCACATCCAGCAGCACTTGCAGCATCAGCAACTTCAGCAGCAGCAGTTTAGGCAGCAGCAGCTGCAGCAGCAGCAGCATTTGCAGCACCAGCAGTTGCAGCAGCACCAGCTGCAGCAGCAGCAGTTGCAGCAGCAGCCGCAGCAGCTGCAGCAGCACCAACTGCAGCAGCAGCTGCAGCAACAGCCGCAGCAGCTGCACCAGCAAGGACTGTCCCCAGCGAGCCAAAGGCACCTATCGAGCAGCAGCAAGAGCAGCAAGAGCGCGTCACGTTCCAAGAGGCCGCAGCAGCAGCAGCCGAAAGCTGCAGCAGCTGCAGCAGCAGCTGCTGCTGCAGCAGAGCAGCAAAGTGCTGTCGGTGCTGCTGTTGGCGGGGCGCCCCTGCATGCAACTCAGGGAGCTGTTGGCGGTCTTCCTGCTGCTGCTCACCAGCAGCAGCAGCACATGCAGCACCAGCAGCGGCTGCAGCTGCAGCAGCAGCACTTGCAACAGCAGCACCAGCTCCAGCACCACCGGCAGCTGCAGCAGCTGCAGCAGCAGCAGCTGCAGCAGCAGCAGCTACAGCAGCAGCAGCTGCAGCAGCAGCAGCTGCAGCAGCAGCAGCTGCAGCAGCCGCCCGATTTCGCTGTTCACCCTTTTGCTGCACAGCCTGTAGGATACGTGGACGCGCAGCAGCAGCAGCAGCCGCGGCGCTCAGGTGCTGCTCGTCCTGCTGGAGCTTAAAGGTGCCTCCTGCAGCGCAGCTAGCTAGCCAGCTAGCGAACTGACGCGCAGCTGCCCACTAGCTGACCTTGCTGCTGCCGTTTTTGCCAGCTCGCTAGCTAGCCAGCCAGCTAGCCAGCCAGCTAGCTAGCTGGCTAGCTATCTAGCTAGCTGGCTAGCTAGTTAGCTAGCTAGCTAGCTAGCTAGGTGCGCAGCAGGCCATTACTGTGGCGGCCCCGCTGTGTAGCTAGCTGGCTAGCCCGGCGTGCAGCTGGCCGACTTGGCGCCTGGCTAGCTAGCTAGCTAGCTTGCTTGCAAGCTAGCTAGCTGGCCTCGCAGCTAGCTAGCTAGCTAGCTAGCTGGCCTCGCAGCTAGCCAGCTAGCTGGCTAGCCACGCAGCTACGGCCGGAGCCGTCCTGCAGCGTTTGCTGCTGCTGCGCTTGCGTATGTCGTCCCGGAGCAACGCAGCAGCAGCAACTCCAGCTGCAGCAGCAGCAGCAGCAGCAGCAGCAGCAGCAGCAACGGACTGCCTAGGGGGCAGGCCTGCTGCGCTGCAGGTGAGGCTCTGAGCAGCCGCACAGATTTCCTTTTGGCGCTTTTCTGTCTCCTCCCGTCTAAACCCTAAACCCTAAACCCTAGGCTTTGCTTTAAACCCTAGGTTTTGCTTTAAACGCTAAACCCTAGGCGTTGCTGTAAACCCTAAACCCTAGGATTTCTCCAAACTCCAAATCCTAGGCTTTGTTTTAAACCCTAAACCTTGGGTCGTGGCCAGTGACGCAGCAGCAGCAGCAGCAGCAGCTTTAGCAGCAGCAGCAGCAATAGCATCCCTGGCAGCAGCAGCAGCAACAGCATCTGTAGCAGCAGCAGCACCAACAGCAGCAGCAGCAACAGCAAAAACAACGACAGCAACGATAGGTACAAAATCAGTTGCAACAGCGCCAGCCGCCTCTACAGTAGCAGAGCAGCAGCAGCAGCAGCTACAGCAGCAGCAGCAGCAGCAACAGCAGCAGCAGCAGCAGCAGCAGCAGCAGCAACAGCAGCAGCAGCAGACGCGTGGCTTGAGCTTTGCAGAATTAGTAGTGTTCGTCTTCTGAGAACTCCAAAGGGGTGTCTGAGGAAGAAAGAGAGAGTTGGGGTGTATAGGCAGCTCTGTGGGGTGTATAGGCAGCTCTGTGGGGTGTATAGGCAGCACTGTGGGGTGTATAGGCAGCACTGTGGGGTGTATAGGCAGCAGCTGAGAAGCTGCTGCTGCTGCTGCTGCTGCTGAAGCGCTTCCAGTCCATGTCTTGCTGCAGCAGCCTTGCCCTCCTTGCTGCTGCCTCCTCTTCGA